CTGCAGAACCAATGGCCCTCCTCTGCCTGCTCAGAACTCCACAGTTCCAGACAAGCTGGGCCTCAGGGACACTGTGCGCCCACCTGCCCCTTGGAAGCTCCACAGCTCTCCAATCGCAGCCCAGATGTGGAGGCAGATGTAGACGCCTCAAACCCACCTCTCCACTTCACGGCACCTGGAAGCCTGGAGGGACCCAAACAGTCTGGGCTCTGGGCAGAGTGCGCTGAGCACTCACCACAGGCTGCAGGGCCTCCGGAACCCGGGATGCTCCACCGCCCACCGAGACATCCACAGTCCTCCAGACACACAGGGAGGCGGATGCAGGCGCCCCAGATCAGCCCAGCCCCTCCTCTGCACACGGATGGCTAGGTGCGGGAGGCCCAAACAGGCTGGGCTCCGGGGATAGTGTGGGCCTGCCCACCTGTTGGAAGCTCAGCAGTTCTCCAAGTGCAGCCGGGATGGGAAGGCGGATGTAGAGGCCTCAAACCCACTTCTCCACTTCACTGCCCCCGGAAGCCTGGAGGGTCCGGAACAGTCTGGGATTTGGGCAGAGTGCGCTGAGCACTCACCACAGGCCACGGTGCCTCAGGAACCTGCGATCCCTCCCTGCTTGCTGAGATATCCACAGTCCTCCAGACACTCGGGGAGGCTGATGCAGGCGCCCCAGATCCGCCCAGCCCCTCCTCTGCACACTGATGGCTAGGCACGGCAGTCCGAAACAGCTAATCTCAAGTATTCTGTAAATGGAATCATATAGTGTGTGTCCTTTTGAGATTGGTGCTATTCACACAGCACCCAATTCTCTGGTGGTTCAGATATAAAATATCAATATACTGTTTATCCTTCTTACAGAGAAGTATTCCATGGTTACCATCTACCTGCTAGGACCTCTGTGTCATTTCCATGTGGGGGATATTACAAATAAAGTTGCTAAAAACTTCATTGTGCAGGTTTTTAAAAAATTTATTTATTTATTTGTGTGTGTGTGTGGTACCAGGGATCGAACTTCGAACCTCTCGCTTGACAGGCAGGCGCTTATGCCACTAAGTTAAATCCCTGGCCCTGTGCAGGTTTTGTGTGGAGGTAATTCTTCATATTTCTAGACTAAAATAACCATCTGGTGTGCCTGCTGATTTACAAGTTAACATGCTTAATTTTTTTTAAATATATATATATTTTTATTGGTACTGGGGATTGAACTCATGACCGCCTGCTTGCAAGGCAGGTGCTTAGGCCGCTGAGCTAAATCCCCAGCCCCAATTTCTTTTTTTTTAAGACAGCATTTCCCTTGGTAGTTTAGGCTGGACTTGAACTTACTGTGTGGCGTAGGCTGGGCTTGAACTTTCAGTGATCCTTCTACCTCAGCCTCCTAACTTCTAGGATTACAAGTGTGTGTCTCCATACCCAGAAATATGCTTAATTTTGTTTTGTTAGGGTTTTTTTTTTGTCTTTTTTATTTTAAAGGAAGTAAAACAGAGCAGTAAAATGAAACAAAACCGTAATAGGACAGTAGGAAATCCATAATCTTTACTACATTGCATATTGTTATTGATAGGATTTTATACTTCTCATCCAAAAGATGAGAAGTATAAAACAAAAGAGACCTTTATTCTGAGAACATGGTAGAGAGAGAACGGACACCGCCAGGTCGCTGGAGTCTGGCTTTCTCTCTGGTGGACACGTGGTATCGGGGGTATGTAAGTAGTCTCGGTTTGGTGTGGAACATAAGGGGCATCAGGGATGCACAGGTAGCCCATTGGTCCTAGGTTTGGCGCCATAGGTAAGTTCCCAGGGGCGGGGAAGATGGCGTCACAGGTAAATTCCTAGGGGTGGGGGAGATAGGAGCTCTTTGGTTCCACCTTTAAGGTTTCACCAGCTACAGTGTCCTGTCTGGGCCAAAACCCTTTCAGTTATTCTCTAAATAGTTACCCAGGCCTCTGGCCCCAGGCCTGCCAAGTCAATTAAACAACATAAATGTCAGGTTGCTTCCCCATTTCAGTTACTTCAGTTGTCATCTCAGCCTGTGTCGCCTCTGGTTGCTTATGGGGGTGGGGGTGGGGGTGGGAGGTGGAGGCAGCGTCCTCGCTGTTTCTCTCCAGGCAGCAGGGCCTCCAGCAGCCCGCAGGGAGGCCGCTGCGCTTCTTGCCGCTTCTCCCCAGCCGGCAGGGCCTGTACTGGCACACAAGGAAGCTGCACAGCTTCTTTCCTACTTCTTGGCTAGTAGGGCTGCGCTGGCACACAGCGGGCTTCATGGCTTCCTTGCTGCTTCTTGCTGGCTGGTAGGACCCCTGGCGTAGTGGGCGTGGGGACCACATTGCTTTCTCGCTGTTTCCCCTGGTGGCAGCAGGGCCTCTGTCAGCCCCCAGATGGTGAGGGCTGCGTTGCTGTCTTGCCGCTTCTCCCCACAGCCAGTAGGGCCTCCACCGGCACGCAGCAGCTTGGGGGGCCTGGGGCTGCACGGTCTGGCAGGTCTGCTGTCCCTGGTTTTCTTATTTTTGCTGGATTCCTGAATTATTTCTCTCCAAGGGTTTCAAGTCTCAGTTCAGAGTCTTCCTGTGTCCATGGGACCCACCCCTCTCCTCCTTCTCTTCCTCATATATATTTCAGGATCTGGACACCAAAATTTGGAGACATTCTTTCTCTGTTGCTCACAGCTCTGCCATTTTTCTGGAAGTCTTTTTTTTTTTTTTTTTTTTTGGTCTTTTTGAGACCCAGGGTATAATTCAGTTCAAGCTGGACTCAAGCTCACTCTGTAGCCCAGGTTGGTTTCAAACTTGCAACCATTCTCCTGCCTCAGCCTCCTGAGTGCTGAGGTTACAGGCATGTGCCACCATGCATGACTAACATGCTTAATGTTTAAGAAACTGCCAGACTGTCTTTCAGGGTGTCTGCATCATTTCCTATTCTCACCAGTCATTTGTGAGATCTGGCTGGATGTACTCTCCATTGTTTGGGGTTACCTCTACTCACTTCAGCCAGACATCATTTGCATTTCCCTAAAGGTTGGTGACATGGAGTGTCTCATTTGCCATCTACATGTCTTCTTTAATAAAATGTGTTTTTATCTTTTTTTTCCAACACTGGGGACTGAACCCAAGTTCTTCACACTGAGGTATGTCTTCAGCCACTTCTCCCCACTTTTTGAGATAGATTTCCAGAAGTTGCTAGATAAATCTGCCATCCTCCTTCCTCATCTGCTAAGTGCTGGGATATAAGCCTGTGCCACCACTCCTGGCCTCACCCTTTTTGAGTGACTTTTTAATTGACTTGTACAAATGCTTTATATTTTCTGAAGATGAGTTGTTTTCTGTTACATGAATTGCAGATCTCTGCCCTCTACTACCTGCCCTTTTCTTCTCTTGATATGGTGTTAATAATTACTAATAAATACAGTTTCTTTATGGTTAGTGGGTTTTCAAAATTTATTTTTTTTTTCAAAATTTGTTTTAAATTTACCTACTTTTTCCTCCTTGTTTTTATCATTTAAAAACACCGGTAGAAGCCCTAGCTGAACACTGGTGTCATAGCAGCATTCCACCACAGCCTGGGCTCTTGTTTTGGTGCATGTGTGATTTCTTTTATAAAATAAAGATGAGGTTTCCTAGGACCAGGTACCTCTGGCCGTGGTTGGCCTTGAGACGAGTGGCCACCTCTGTGGGCCCTAAAAAGAGCCTCTGCTGGTCAGGGTTTGAGAAACTGTGGCCCTGTCTTTTCTATCAAAAGTACAAACAGCTGGGCATGGTATAATTCCAGCACTGGGGAGGTGAGGGTAGTAGGATCCTTTGAGTTCCAGGCCAGCCTGGGCGATAGTGAATTCAGAGATAGCCTGAACTACATAGTAAGACCTTGTCTCAAAAACAAACAAATAAACAAAGACATAAACAAGAGTGCCTCCATTTTAGACTAGTCCACACTAAATGACCCCACCCCTCACTTTGAAATGCCTAAATTGTTTTGTTTTGTTTTGAGACAGTGTCTCCCAGTGTAGTCCAGTTTGGTCTTGAATTTGCAGTAATCCTTCAGCCTCAGCCTCTCCAAGTGCTGGGATTACAGGTATGGGGCCACCTACCCCGAACACCTAAATTTTGGGAGCATAGATATAGACCAAAGATAGCTTATCACTAGCAAGACTTTTTGTTCCCCATACCTTATCCCCTCCTGCTCCTCCTTCCTCTCAGTAAATCTTCAAATCTTTCCCTGACCCAGTTTAAACTAGCTGACTGGGATAGATTGTAAGCCTTTCCCATGCATTAGTGATCACTGCACCACCCCAGCCAATACCTCCCCCCACCCCCCACACTAGGAGCAACCTCTGCTTCCAGTCTGAGTGAACTCACAGCCTCCTGTAGAAGTAAACTATAAACTTTGCCTTGTTGAGTCCTCTTGTTTGCAACAATTTGAGTTTTGGGGCTCATTTCTAACAAGAGGAGGAATGGAAGACCTGTTCTATCCTTCCAGAAGGAACATCTAAAATCAGAAGTTGAGAACTTACAGGAAGATCACTGCTCAGACAATTCAGTGGAAGCATGTAAAAAGCTAGGCAATGTCACAAAAGCAGAACAAATCACTAGCATGTGAGTGGGTCTTCAGTGGTCATGTCAGTGCCTTACCAAGTCAGAGGGAAATGAGCCCTCTGACACCCTGAACCCCAAGGCGATGTCTACCTTATAAGGACTTTTACGTGGCAAGATGCAAAGCAGGTTACTTCCTTGTTTCTCAGATAACAGTATGCCTGGCAGATAGCCCCTCTTCTTATACACACCTGTGGCCTCCTGCAGGCCCAGAGTTAATCTGTATGGCAAGTGTGCCACCTTAATACTCAGTAACTGTCCTGCACTGTGGGTCTCCTCTCTAGGCAGACAGGTCACCACACCAGGGAGGCTGTTTCATTTTGGTGGACTAATAGAGTCTAGGCTCCTGCCAACCACAGGAGGATTCAGATCCCACCCTGCTCAGCCTCGCTGCCCTTCCCAAAACCCGAAAGAAAACGAGGTCTCATCTGAAGTGCAATCCCAGTCTCTGGACTTTATTCTGGGCTGCAAGGCAGACTGGGGTTGCAGAGTATGACTCTCCAAATTGGCACTGGGCCAAAGCAGCTAGCTGTAGCTGTCAGGCTCCGTGTCCTCTGGAAGAAAGTAGCGCTGCAGGGCTGGCTGCAGGAGTCTTGGGGGCCGAGCACGAGTGGGCTTGGGCCATCCGGGTGGAAAGGGCTGTGGCTCCACCCGAGGCAGTGGCAGCTTTAGCACACGGATAGTGCCATCTAGTGCTCGGGCGTGTCGGGACAGGACACGGCCTGGGAACAAACTGGCAGTCAGGTAGGGGTGGGCCAACAGGGTTGACAGGGATGGCAGGGTCAGGAGTCAAGATCTAAGGTGGACCCTGGGGCCCACTTACCCCTCAGTCTCATCTGGGAGCTCTGGGCTGCTGCCTCCTGCAGCCGGAAGATGGGGTGGTACCTAAGAGAGGTGCAGGTTCAGCCAAGCCACACCCAACACTTATCCCCACACACATATTACCTCTGCACCACACACCTGTGATCCCGAGGTGGTGGTATCACTGTGTTGCGCTCTGGCAGACACAAGGCCACATGTGAGTGCTTGGCATCCTGCAGCAAGCTCTGCTGTTGGGCCCGCTGTTTCTCACAGAAGTAATTCAGTGCATCAATTGTGCACAGGTCCAGAATCTTCAAACGCGACCAGTCTGTCTTTTCGAGTGGCAGCAATGTATCAAGCTGTGCAGGAGGCACTAGGGGGTCCATGTGGGCCTGGGGCACCACACAGAAGCTCTGTAATGTCTCAGACAGAAAGCGTCTGGTCTGCTTGGCATACACCTGTACTGGCATGGGCTCAGCCAGGAACTCTGGACTAACTGCCTTTGGTTGCAGTGCCGGGATGCTTGTGAGTGTCCCCGAGACCATGGAAGCCTGTGAAAGAGTCTCTTTGGGAGGAGATGAAGGTACTGAGATCTCAGAGACCTTGGGCAGCACCACAGACATCTTTGCTGTAGTCTGCTGTGTGGTTTCCATCTGTAGGAAAAGTGGCCAGTTAAGAAAACACCCTAGCTCTTTAGCCCCTGAAACTCCACCCCACCCCAGGAAGACTGCCTGATTCGGAGGCCTCATCAGTGCAATCTCTGATTCCAACACCATGCTCTTGCTGCAGCCTTTAGTAGGAGCAGGGTTCCCCAGAGACACTCAGGTTGGGGAATCATGGAGACAAAGCTGAAGTAAGCAGGCATTAATACAGTCCCACCTGACCCTCTCCAGGGACTTCTAGATTTCTGGAGGTAACAAACTCCCCATGGGTGGTCCACCTAGCCCCCATGCCCCAGACCTTCAACTCTTGGATCATGTTGTCCAGTTTCTGGCAGCAGTGTGTACGTAGCATGGCTTTGGACTCAAGGCGTGAGCCCTGGGCCCAGGTCATCATCTCAGTGAACAGAAAGCCCTGTGGATCCTGGAGGCCCAGGCTATCCAGAAGCTTCTTGAGCTCTGGCCTGAAACAGATGTGTACAGCTTAACCCAAGGTCTTCCCAGATGGCCAGGATGATTAGTCAGGGGCATGACTGACCGGTAGGATGCTGGAGAGTAGAGGAAGTAGGACATGAGCTCTATCACCACATCACGGGAATCCAGGGAGCAGGCCAGGAGCAGCTGCAGTGCCAGTATCACAAACTGCTTCTGTGTAGGGTACTGAGCACAGGGGTGGGGGTGGCACTGTGGTCTATTCAGGAAGTTGGGGCAAGTAAGTGGCTGTTAAGGAGCTTACCTCAAAGCTGGGAGGGGGATCCAGGTTGAGCAACTGTAAGAGACTGCCCCGTAGCCGTATCTGAAGCTCTCGACTCAATTGGGGCATCAGCCTCAGCAGTGCTTGCAGGATATGCACACGGTCTGCCCAGGTCGCCTCTGCTAGCAGGTCCACAAACACTGAGGCCAAGCCCTCCTCAGTGCCCATCTCCGGGTAGGCCTGTGGGATGAAGTGCTGAAGTCCTGCACATATCCTGTACCCAGGTGGGCTCCTGCTTTCTCCCCATCCCCCAGCCCAGCCTGTATTTCTAGGCTTCCAAGTCTCCCCCAAACCTCCAGGCTGAAGATAGGGAGCAGCTTTTTGAACCAGTTCTGGACAACAAAAAAATGCAGGAACCTAGGCAGATGCTTATAGTGTTCTTCCCAGAGGGAGTAGCACTTCGGGCCAAGGAGCTCAGGTGAGCTCAAGGGCTCTGTGATCAAGTCTGTGGAGTTCTAGAAGAAGCAACAGCAGCTTCAGACCCAGCTCTCTGGGTTATAGGTACCAAGCCCTCCCCTCCTGTGGCAGTCTGGGGTGCCTACCCTAGCCACTGGCTCCCAAGAATCTAACTCCTGCTGATTTGAGCTTAACGAAGTCCAGTCAGCCTCCAGCAACTCTTTGTCCTCCTCTTCTTCCTCTTCCTCTTCTTCTTCCTCCATGGAATGCCTGTGAAGCCACTGGAAGAGTCTCTTCCGCCACTTGCCTGTAGACCATCTGTGTTGTGACAGCCATAGGCCATCTATGTTTGGACCTGGCTGCAGAGATGGGAGTGTAAAAGGGTGCATGTAGAAGGCTGTGGAAACAGTGAGTCCTGCCTGAACCCCACCCCCATTCCTAGCTCTTGCCTTAAGTCTGTTCTGGGGGGCAAGGTGGGCCAGGGATCCAAGGTAGCTGGCCTCCATGGGCAGCCATATCCGCTGCAGCACTACAGAGTTGGGCACAAAGCCAGGGAATCTGATGGGTCTTGGGCAATACTAGAGGAAGAGCAAAGCAGGGTAGGCAGAAAACCGTAAGTCATTCAACTGGGTACAACTCAAAGGCACCCCATAACCATTCTGCGTCCCTCAGCCAGGAACCTACTTCCAAGGATCAGACTGAAACGAAGCCCCTATTCTCAGCACATAGACAAGCAGGGAAATCTGTGAAACTAGGTAGAAGAGTACTCCTTAAACTCGGAAATGACAGAGACCCAGAGGACACTTGCTGTCCATATGACTGAGCCAAAACTGGGACAGGGAAGTCTAGAATGAGCTAGGTTTCAGGGAGTAGCAGGAAAAAAAAGAGCTTAAATAGAAGATACTACAAGATTTGGGAAAATGTGGAGACTCAGGTTGTAAAGTCAAGGACATCCACAATGCAGGGGCTAGGTGTATAGTTGGTGAGGCTTGGGCCTTCCTAGCCACCTAGTGTAGAGTATGAAAAGACTGTGGACATGAAGGGCTCAGTTTCCCCTGAACTTGCTCCCCTGAAGGCCCTACATTCTGATCATTCCCACTGGGGTCAAGGGTAACAGGTAGAGTCAGTAGTGTGGAACCCTTGGCTCAATTCCTGGCCTGGGAGGCAGCAAGGAGCCCATGACCAGATATAGCCACACCAGGTTACTTGGGCAGCTCTGGAGCCTGGCCCTCCAAGATGCAGGTGGACATAAACTTGAGTCAAATTTGGACATGAAGGTTTGCAGCAAACATAGGATGCATAATAAGAGTGAACCCCAAAGTATTACCTCTGGTGGAAGCTGAGAGTCTCACCTTATAAGGCAGGGTAGTGGCAGGAAAGAAACCCTTGAGGTTGGAGAGGCGCTCTTTGGGCTTTCTCTGCAGCAATAGTGGGAGCTGGGAAGGGAAGGGGAAGGGACTCAGAGAAGAGCATAGCCTTTCGAGTCCCTGAAGTGCTGCCTGAGGCGGATGGCACCCCATCTGCCCAAGTCCCTCACCCTGTGCTGCAGGAGAGAGGTCAGCGGTTCCAGGACTACGGTCATCTCCCTTTGGACTTGTTCTGAGTGCAACAGTAGATCCAGACTGAGGCCCAGGTCATGACTTAGGGAAGAGCGGGCTAGAAGCTAAGACATCCAAGGAGTCATGAGGGTGGAGGCAGAAATCATGATATCAAGTAGTGAAGTGGGAAGGGAGAGACCTCACCTGGGATGCTTTGCTGTGCACCTTCCGGTGGATGGGTACAAGAGGCAAGGTAACTCGGGGAGGGCGGGCAAAGCGCCGGTCTGGAGTTCCTAGGCCCTGGAGGGATAGGGTTGTGCGTGCTGTCTGAGGTTCATTGCTGACTGTAGCCTGACTTAAGCAGGCGGCAGCGCTGGCTAAGGCACACTCATCCTGGGATTCTCTCTGTGTCGGTAAGGCCAAGGTGTTCCACTGCTGTGAATCCTTTCCAGACTGAACACCCTGGCAAAGGTGACATCATGTCAGGCCTGGGCAAGGTGAGGGGCCATGTCTAGGGCTGGGCTGGCCTCATACCCACCAGCAGGCTAGGACCATAGATTAGATATAGATAATTTTCAAAAGCTTCCTGATGCTGTTTCCAAGAGGGTAGGGGTGGAGCCAGTGGGACTACTAGCCCTAGTCTCAATTGCTGAAGATCTTGATCTCTGGTCTTGAGAGTCTCCAAGTCCTAAGGTGGAGATCAGAGTCAGCTATACATCAATGAGACTTGTTATGTGCTGGCCAGGTCAGCCCAGGGACTGAGGAGTCGTGGTGTGGGCCTGGTCAGGGGCAGAGCTGGGCAGTGGGTGATGAGGGGGTCAGGCTCATCTGTACCTCCTGCACCACTGGTTGCTGAGGTATTGCCATCTGGTGATGGATGAAGGGCAAGTCCACACTGCAAACAGGGACAGGGACAGGTGAGATGCTAGGTGGAATCACCAGTAGAACAGGACAGAAATTGGGACAAGGACCAATCAAGAAAGCAATGCCAAGACTCAAATGAGCCTGTGGTAGGCCCTGAGAAACACAGAAGTTCTGAGTTTTCATGTGAGGCTGCCAGCAGACCTGAGGCTGGCCACGCCCTGCAAGTTGATGAGTCTTTGCAGTTGCATAGGTGTCAGTGATTCTTGGTTGGTCAGTGGCAGTGGAGGGTCATCCACATCAGAAGCATTTTGGTGCAGGTTCTGAGAGAGAAGCAAGCAAAAGAAGCCTGGATCCTTGGACTCAGGAACCTGTTTGCATGCAGCAGCCCCACCTTGCCTACCTTGCTCTCATGGTACACCTGGACCAGGTAAAATGTGGGAAGGTAGAGCCTATGGGACACCAGGCAGAGACGAGAGCCCAGTGCTAGCACCAGGTCTGCACTGTTACTGCAGAAAGCCAGGGCCTGAGGGGCACCATCCAGCTGCAAGAGCCTGTGGAGGGTACCCAGAGGCCAGAGTTCAGCCCCTGCTCACAGAGTGGGATAAGAGTAATGAGGGCAGCTTCTGTGCCCCCAGTGTAGTGACTGGGCTCTCACGGGAGGAAGAGGTGGGGAGAGCCCAACAGCCGCCCCCAGCCCCCAGCCTGCTCCCTGGGGTTCCAGCCCACCGCAGCAGGCGGTTCTCTGCAGTCCAGATGCGCACAGTGCAGTCCAGGCTGGCGCAGGCATACAGCTTGAGTGTGGGGCAGCAACATAGCCCTGCAGGTTGGGCTGGTGTCAGGAACTAAACTGCTGGCATGGGGGCCCCGGCTTCACCTCTGTTTTGATTCCCTCACCAGTGATGTGGTCCATTGGGTCATCCTGGGGCCGGTGGTCACAGCGCTGGCCTTCACGAAGGCCAAACTGTACCAGGCCATACGTGGCGCTGTCTGGATCTTCAAAGCCTACAGTTACGCGATTGCCCAGTGCACAGAGCCTCACAACTGGGTGACAGCAGGAGAAGGTGCGCAGCAGGCTCAGACTCTCTTCGGAGTAGGGGAACACACGCCACACCTTCACAGTCCTGTCTCCCCCTATGGATGGAAGAAGCTAGGACTGGAACTTAGTGGAGAGGGCTTCCTGGACTGGTTTCAGGTGCAAGAAAGTACTGACCTGATGATACGATGCTGTTATAAGTGGACGCAATGGCAGTAACCGGGCCTGGATCATGTGCTTTTGTACGGAAGACGGTCTTCGAAGAGAGCCAGTCCAGGACTGACAGCATGCCATCTGTATGTCCCATCACAGGCAGGTAACTGCAGGTGGCAATGAAGCCTGTTAGCACCAGCCCTATTGCCAAGCTGGCAGGCCTAGGATGGGCTCATAGCATCTCAGAGGGGCCTGGGTGCCCACCGGTTCTTGTTCTTCCAGGCCCAGGCCATAGCGCAGCGGCGCGGGTCGCCCCCGTGTTCGCACACAATCTCCCAGCAGGTAAATGCAGCGCCAGGGTCAGTGAGGTGGCTATAGAGGTGCAGGCAGCAGGGTTGCGATGTAGAGGGCGAAGGTGGGCATATCCGGTGCAGCACACTCATGGGGCAGCGTGCTGCATTCACTCGCACCAGGTGGCCAGCCTGTGTCAGAAGCCACAACGCTTCGCGCGGCAGGCAGTACACCACTGCAGCTGCGCTGTCCTCTTGGTCAAGCAGTAGGGTGTTCACCGTTCGCCCCGAAGCAGCAGATATCAGGTGAATTGAACCATCTGCGCATGCGCAAACGAGGCGCATAGGCAGCACAGGATCTACAGGTGCGGGCAGCACGGGCGCCACCTCTAGGTGCAGCACCCGCGAGGGCAGCTGAGCTAGCGGCGAGTAGAGTTCGCGCACTCGCCACAGCTCCACACTCCTGGTACACAGAGACAACACCGGCCAGCCAGTGCCTGCAGGCGCCAACAAGCGGTTCACACGCCAGGACAGCACGTCCTGGCTTCTGTAGCACAGCACTGCCTCACCCACCTGTGCCTCTGCCTGCAGGTCCCATGTGCGCAGTGTCCCATCCTGTGAGGCCGACACCACCAAGGTGGTTTTTGGGAGCACAGTTATAGCTGTCACTGGACCTGTGGAGAGGCCCAGTCACTTCGGCATTCCGAAACTGAGGAAAGGGGAGTGGTTAGCCTGGGTGTAGCTGACTAGGGAATCCTGGCCTGGACCAGCCAAGATTCCGGGCAACTGAGCACTGTGAGTGGAAAGAATGCACTGCACCTGTGTGGCCCACGAACACCATCCGGATCTGCCAGTCCACCTCCCACACCTTCACTGTGCTGTCCCGAGAAGCTGTCACCACAGCCTCCACCTCCCTGCAGTATGCCAGGTCTGAGATGGTACTGCAGACGGGGAAAGAGGGGCCCAGAAGATTCAACAAGACTGTGGGTGCATGGCTCTCCCTAAGGACCCACCTCATGTCCTCATGTCCTACTCACGTCTTGTGCAGATCCCTGCACACATGGATGACAGCCCAGGTGTGCAGATCCAAAGTAAGTACCGCTGAGCCATAGGCTACGAAGCAATGTGGGCCAAAGTGAGCAGGCGCTGGCCCCAGAGCCAGCCTCTTGAGTGCGCCCTCTATGCCTAGAGGTGGATATATGGTTGACCCACACTGTACCAAGCGGCAGCCACCTGAACGGAATTTCCAGAGAGACAGGCCACCGCCCACCTCAGCTACAAGCAACAGAAACTTTTTGGGCACCGGAAGGCAGCAAGTGGGCTCAAGGCTCTGTGTCCTGTCCATCCCTAGCTGGCTCAGCCACAGCAGGCGGAGGCTTGGCCCCAGTATGGCTAGCCCAGCAGGACCCCAGCCTACAAATCGGCCCACAGCTCCCAGAGGTCCTGGCACAGCCACCAGACCCGTAAGTGCTACGGGGGCCTGCAACTTCTGTTGTGCCCAGCCGTCCTTTCTATGCAGGTGCAGGTGTCCTGCGCCGTCCAGCACCACAAAGCGCTCGCCTTCTGGGTCCTGTGCCACCGAGTGCAGGCCGGCTGCTACCTCTAGGCGGCGCAGTGGCTCCAGCCCGTGCGTCAGATGAGCCACGTGCATTTCAGTTGTCTTCACCTGCAGGCAAGCATGGACAGATTTTTTAAGGGCGAGGTAGGGGAGGGGTTCTGCCCAAGGAAACAGATCAGGTGCTAGGAACACCTAGTAAAAGGCTGATCTGGATAAGAGGTCAGAAGGCAGACTCCAGGCAAGCCACACCTTTTCCACAAGATCGTGGAGGCCTGTGCGTAAGAGCAGCCACAGCTGGCGGGCGCGAGTCTGTAAAGTCATGTCCTGCCATCGCTGGCTGCTGGTATAGAGCTGCTGGACCTGTGGTGGCTCCCGAAAGTACAACTCTATAGATAGCCGGAAAAAGTCCTGTCACTTGCGGCCCTGAAGGTCACAGGCAGTGCTATGCCTGCCAGGAACTGCCGGGAGAAGTTCCATTGCCCGGACAGAATAGAGCCCTGGTGAGACCTGCTTTCTAAAGGGAAATGGGGCGGGGTAGGGGTGTCACCATTCTTTTCCAACAGCAACCCTGGATCTGGGGTGTCATAGCTGTCCACATCATAAAGGTCTGAGTCTGGAATCAGATTGTCTCCTTCTGCTGAAACGTTGCTGCTTGTGTCCAACGCTCCGGCCTCCATATTCACGGTTGTGTCCAACAGCTCCAGGGACCTAGCGGTTGCCTGAATGTCGAACGCCGCAAGCCCCGCCCCAACGCAGGCCCCGCCCCCACCACACCCAGATTCACACTAAGTCACAGAAACTTTTATTGAAAACAAATGAGCTGCAGCAAAGTGACACTCAGTGCACGCAGTCCTCCAGGAAAAGTGAGGGGACGGATGGGCACCAGAGGCTGGCCCAAGACCAGAGCCACTGAACACTAGAGCCTGCTTGTGGAGCCTCAAGACACAGGCCTTTGGAGCTGGAGTGTGCAGCCCCAGTAGGAAATACAAAAATAAACTCTGTGGTCCATCCCTGCTTATGGCAGTCCATCTGGGCAGGGTAGTCACTCTTCCCACAAGGCCCTGTGCTGTTTAGTCCAGCCACAGCACGGGCAGTAGGATCCTGCAGGGGTGAGTGGACATCCATAGGCTGGTGCCAAAAGGCTAGGCAGGTGTGACCTTGCGCAGCACCAGGATTGTGGCAGCGCCAGGGTATGGCCATCAGCTGGGGAGACCTTGGGGCCCCTCAGGTGGACAGTCCAGGCATTGGTTGAAGCTGAATGAAGCTGGGGCTGCTGCTCCTCTCATCACATACAGATCACTGGGACCCTGGGCAGAGGTTGACACAGCAGGACTTGAAGTGCCACTACCCAGCAGACCAAGCAGAGGTAGTTCTCACTTATCCACCCATTCCAAGGATTGAGGACCACCATCACATACCTGTCCTCCTCCACGGTGCTGGTCTCCTCAGCCCCACCCTCACTGCCTCTGCCTCCACTTTCTTCCTCTGCCTCTTCCTCCCCCAATTCCATATCCAGTTCATTGCCTGCCTCTGAGGGTGTGTAGGTGGAACCACTGGGTAGGGAAATGGAAAAACCAGTCTTAGGACCAGCTATCCAAGGACAGCTGCTGATCCAAGGAAGGATGTTTAGACAAAGCACAGGGTAGTTGAGCACAGCTGAGATTGTATGGGCCCAGGGAGCTAGGGGAAGAGAACTGGGTAGTACAAACCTGATAGAGCGGCAGCTGAAGAAGACAATTCGCTTCAGTCGTTTGTTGTAGAAGAAATAATTGAAGGACCAGAGGCTGCCATCCTCCCCAAAGGGGTCTGAGTCCAGGTCTGGGTTATAACTGGGGAGTGAGGCAAGCAGTAATGTGAGGCTCCTGGGGCCACTTACACCTTGGGGAATATACCTGAAGGAACTTTGGCACACCTGTAGATGTCACATTCAGCCAGGCAGATCTCTTCATCCACTGCGTTCCAAAGCTGTGGCTTCAGGTCCTTGAAGTCCTCTCGCACAGCAGAAAACAGGCTGCAATTGACTGCATTCACCACCTAGGGAAGATCATGTCAGGGATGACAAGGGTCCAGCACAGCAGGTGTAAACTAGACAGAGCCCAGGAACCATAGGGGATTGTAGCAGGGATGGCTTTGGGGCTGTGGATCCCTCCACCTGATCCTCACCCAGCTGAGGCTGGGTTCGCGGCTGAACTCATGGCTTCGGGCTGTGCTGAAGTCATAGTCTGGCCTGAAGGACTCGTTGAGTGTGGCGATTAGATAGAAGAGAGTCTTTCGGCTGCATTTGTCACTGAGGGGACCCTCATCCTCACCACCTTGGCTCTTGCTCAGTCTGTACAGAGACAAACATCAGCCTAGCCCACCATCCCACAGCCTGGAAGAGGCAGACCCCACCTCAGCTCACCTGCTGGGGCTGAGGCCGGATGTCTGGGGTGGGGACAGTGCCTCCAGAACATGGGGCTGGCCTTCCTGGCAGAACTGCTTGAACATGTGCTTGTCATCTCCTGCCATCTTACATGAGTAGCTCTCAATCCTATGGGATGCAGACCATGGAGCATGCTGGCCCTGCCATGTTCAACTAAGGAAGCAGGGCAGTGACCTGTGAGACAGTGGCCCCACCTGCCTCACCTCTGGCCTCACCTGCCAATGATGTGGGCATCTCCAGTCTCCACAGTTAACTGTGAATTGATGGCTTCAAAGCTGGAGTTCTCCAACAGCTTCATGACCTTAGGGAAGGGACTCCTTGTTCCAGAGGTGCTAGTGCTGCCTGAGGATGTAGGAAGCCAGGCCATGTGTATCTGGTCCCATGGAGTTATGCTTTTAGTCTTCCTACCCACTAAGCAGAACACTGTGCACAGATGGCTCAGGCCTATGTTCAGGCTTCACACAGTTCCTCTCCCTCCTCTAGCCAACCCTCAACACTCAGCACTAGCTGGAAAGTGATGAGATCTTATTACCTGGAGGTGTCAAGCCCAGGCTCCCAGCTCAGCCATATCTTCTGCATCACAAAAGACAGGGGGGTAACTCAGGACTGTTCACCTTGGGGCTGTTAGACTAGTCCATTACTCAACTCTCACTGTCCTCATCCTCATCCAGAAAGAGGGTCACTCATCCACCATGGGAGTCACTTTGCACTCGCCAAGGGCTGTGACTCCTGCGGTTTCCCTTTCACTCACAGATGAGATCCTCGGCCAGGATAAGAACCAGGACAGCTGAAGCTCAGGCCCTGCAGCACCTGGACGGGTGCTCTTCTGTTTTATGGGCTGCTTCTCTAGCAAGGAGGGAGGAAACCCCACAAGGTCCTACTCTGCAAGCGGAAAGAATCCTTCAACCCCGGTCCAGCTAGCGCTCTGCAGCATCTACCGGGCCCGACTGGGGCACCTGCCGAGCCACAGCGGAACCACAAGTCCCAGCAGGCAGTGCGGAGAGCGACAGGTTCCTGCCAAGCAGCCGCGGAACTACGAGTCCCATGAGGTAGTGCCTAGGCGCGAGGCCTGCTGGGTACTGTGGTTCCGGCGGCCTAGGACGTCGCGGGCACAGGGCGGACGGCGCGGGCTCACAGCGGACACCCACCTGCCTGGGCTTGGCAAGATCGGGCCGGCCAGGCTGCTCGGCGTCGGTGTCAGGCAAAGGCGTGGCGGGTTCCGCGCAGTGCGGGCTCCTCAGAGTCTCAGGGTGGCGCCGCGGCCTCCACTTGGGCCGCGCCGTATCCGGGGGAAGAAGCTCCGCGGCGACGTCCCGTTATTCCAGGCCTTGCCGGCCCATCCGGGGTGCCACCACGACATAGCCTCGCCCCCCTGCACAGCGCCTACTCTCGCGACCGACCTGTCGTTGACCGACACAGTACCACAGCGAGCAAGCAAACCAGCGACCTCCACTTCCCTCGTCCGCACAACAACAAGCGTCCGGCAGGCCCAGCCCCACGCCTCTGAATGGCCCGCTTCAACCTCAGGCTCGAAAGCGCGACAGCCATTGGGAGGTTTCCCGTCGCTCATTCTGCCTTCCCCTCCTACTGGATATGAGCCCTGTCTATCACACTCTCAACCAAGCGAACCCGCCTCTCGCCCTGGCGCTTATTGGCCAGAGCTCTGCTCCGCCCCCGCGCTGGTGTAGGAGTAGCGAGCCCCAGGCTATCCCGGGTACTCACCAGGGTTCTCTAGCAGGTTGGAAGAGCCACTGACTGGGTTGCCTTTCTATCCGGAACTGGGACTGCTACTGCTGTCTGCCTGAGCCTCTGAGGCGAATAAACTGGCCGCTTCCCGCTTGTGGCTGGTGTTTCGAACGCTGACACTCCCTCCGATACCCATCTCAAACGTGACCCCCGGGGCGTGTACAACCGCAGACACAGAACGGCCAGCTTGGCTGGTGCGCGGCCCTGGGTCCCCTCCTGAGTTTGGACACTCTGGCTACGCCCGGAACATACAGTGTCAGGGTCATAGTTTCTAGTCGGTGGCGGAGGCGCTTAGCGACCGGATCGACGGAAGCAGACTCAGAGGGTCAGGATCTGAGCTGACTAGAGATGGCGCCTCCGGCAGGTGGGGAGGCAGCAGGTGGGGACTCTAGCTCGGCCAGGATCCTCCTGGCTGTGCACGCTGTAGTGAGGCCGCAGAGGGCTGGACCCGGTGCAGAGGCGCCGCTGCGGAGACTGCAGCTGAGCACGGACCCCGAGCGGCCCGGGCGTTTGCGGCTGCAACTTCAGGGTTCCGGACCTGAGGCGGTGAGTGAGAGAAGCCCAAAGTTTGGCCCTTCTGCCAACCCACTGCGTGCTCTTGAACAGTTACTTTTTTTGCTTATCTTAAACTATAAAATGGGAATAATGCTAATATCTGCTTGTAAGTGGCCTATAGATGTTACCACGTCTTCCTTTGGTCACCATAAGATTCAAAGTAGGAGACCGCTAAGCTTGGACTCTTCCCCTCCTCAGGTTAATTTGGAGTGGCCCTTGGAGTCAGTCTCCTACACCATCTGCAGCCCCAGCCAACACGAGCTGCAGCCTCCACCAGGAGGCCCTGGAACCCTCAGCTTACATTTCCTCAACTCAGAGGAAGCTCAGCGGTGGGCAGCCCTGGTGCAAGGCGCCTCCGCGGAGGGACAAAATGGTCAGTTTTTGAATTATGGCTCAGTTGGAGTAGCCCTGGCCGCTCAGATTGGGGTGGAGCAGTGATGGAGGAAGAATATAGAAATGTGGAGAAAGGTAGAGATTGAGGAGCTGCAGGCTGAAGTACCATAACAAGGAATAGCAAACCAGGGCCATCGAACCCCAGCGTGAATGAAATCAAGTTCAAGAGCAACAGGGAAAGTGTTCAGTGGAAAAGGGGATAGGTTTAGATCTCTGCTACTTAAACATGTGGAGTGGTCGTGATAGGGCTGCAGAGGAGGTTGTTTCTAGAGATTCAAAGGTGATGGGATTAGCTAAGTTTCATGCCTGTTTAAATGGAAGGATTAATAGTTAATCCTTGCATCCAGGTAATGCAACATTCCTAAATAGGGTCCAGTTGAGAGGGTGTGAAAGTGGCTGAGTTCTTACACATCTGATACAGAATTGGGACTTTCCACAAGTAAAGATAGGATGTAGAAAAGGTCAACCAAATTCTCCAGAAGAGAGAATCCTAGACAAAAGGGGCTGGCATGCAGTTAGTGACTTGGAGAAAGGAAGGATAGCTCATAAATGGACACAGGAAGGAAGACAACCAGACAGTGTAATGTAAGACAGCTCCAGGCAACTCTGTATTGAAAAAGGGAGAGGCTCATTCATTCACCAAATGTAAGTACTCAGCCCCTGGTCTGGCTGAATACTGGACACTGCTTTAGCCTAAACAAATTCTCTAATTCCTATCTTGGAATTTCTAGAAAGGAGACAGACATAAAAATCCATAAATAAGCTTCCATTAGATAGTGGAGGGAATGGAAGTGCTGGAGGAAGGGCTGCTACTTAAAATAGGGTGGCTGAAAAGGCAGAGTGGAACCAGAGTGAAATTTGAAGGGCATAGTATAAGCTGTGCGACCCAGGGAATAGCAAGTATAAAAATCCCTGAAAGGAGTATATGCAAATGACCCTTAAGGCACAGTCTTAGCACCAGGTGCTGGAGGGCTCTTCTTGTTTTAGTGGGGAGACAGTTCAGAATATCCAGGGATATGAGACCATCACAAGTGTCATTACTGGATGTGGACACCTCACTATAGTGCCCTGCCCCAAGCAGGTGGTAATAAGGGGGAGGGGTGCAGCAATGTGCCTGACTCTGTAAGGACCCTCAAGGCAGGGAACCCAAGTGTGTTCTGTGTAGATGGAGAAGCCAGGAGATGAGAGGCCATGGAGGACACCTAGCAGATCACTCACTGACTGCTAGGGCTGCTGTTAGGCAGAAAGTGTGACCCCTGTCTTTGGTTCTGCTGTATGGAGGAGGGACACAGGTGAGACCAGGCAGTAGAATTCAGGACTCCAGTTTCCAAATATGAGCCAAATGTAGCTCTAGCACCAACAGAAGTTGGCTAAGAACCTCTTGAGGGGTTTACAAGAGCCAAGGCTGGGAGGAGAAAGTGTGTCTTTGAAGTATAGCCTGAGACAGGGTGTAACATAGGCTGAGGTGAAGAGGGAGAAGGTAAAGATTCCAGAAACTTGAGGGCAAAGAGGCCCAGGCAAAGTTTACCAGCCACTCTACATCTCTTTCCTAGGCAGTAACAGCCTACCCCCACCCCTGGGCCCAGAAATATGTCCTGTTTCCCTGTCCAGTCCCCCCGTGGCCCCAACACTCAGAGCACCCCAGTCTCAGGCCAATCTGACCTGGAGCCCTGGAGACTTGTTGGAGAAAGGTAAGGACAGCCAGCCAGAGGGGCCTGGGGGAAGCAGCTGGTGTCTGGCTATGACAGCTGTCCTCTTATTTTTGTAGAAGAGCTAGCTGGGCACCTGGCCCAGGCCATTGCTGGTGGAGATGAGAAACGGGCAGCTCAAGTGGCAGCAGTCCTGGCTCAGCATCACGTGGCCCTCAGTGTCCAGCTCCAGGCAGCCTGCTTCCCACCTGGTCCTATAAGGTGAGGCTGGGTCTACTTTACATTGCCCTTCTGATCCTCCCAGATTCGTCATGCAACCCTTAGCTTACTTTCTGACCCAGGCTGGAGGTCACAGTTGAAGATGCCACATCTGGTGTGTCTTCTGCATCCTCTGCTCACATCTCCCTGAAGGCACACCCCCACTGTACCATTGCAGCTCTCCAGGAACAGGTGAGCATTGGGTCAGGGAGCCCTATTGGGAGAAGGAGATGAACCTGCCCAGCCCTGGTGCTCTGCCCACAGGTGTTCTCTGAGTTCGGCTTCCCACCTGCTGTGCAGCACTGGATCATTGGGCGATACCTGTGTGTGCCTGAACGCAGTCTTGCTTCCTATGGGGTCCACCAGGATGGAGATCCTGCCTTTCTCTACCTGCTTTCAGCCCCCCGGGAAGCCCCAGGTGAGTCCTGGATGGCAGTGAGGGATGTTGGGTGTAGCTGGAAATAGCCCTGAGCCCCTCCTCCTCTCCCACAGGATGCAGCCCTCAATGTCTCCACAAGATGGATGGGGAAGTAGGACACTTGTTTCCCCAGACATTGGGGCTGTCCCAAGCCCCCCAGCCAGCCAGTTCCAGTCTCCCCAGCCCCCTTCAGGTGGGCAAGGGACCAGTATGGGCAGGGGTGGGCCAAGCCTGGGCAGCTGTGGCCACTGGAAGGAGCAGAAGAGCAGTAAGTCTCTCTACCTCAGCCCGGCTGGCCCTGTCCTTCCTGCACCTTCATCAATGCCCCAAACCGCCCAGGCTGTGAGATGTGTAGCACCCAGAGGCCCTGCAATTGGACTCCCCTTCCTACGGCCACCACCTAGGAATTCTCAAAGGTACAAAAGGGTAGAGGGTGGAGGTGGTATGCAGGACAAACAACTAGGAATGACCTGTTTCTTCCCTCAGGTTACAGAAAACCTGGGCCTTGCCTCACAGATCCAAGTTCCTGGATCACCTCTTGAACTCCAGGGACTTCTACTGGCTGTTCACTGGCAATACAGCCACAAGTGTTGTGGGGGAAGGGCCTTGAGCCAGTCATTAAAAACATAGGACAGTTCAGTGTCCCCTTCACTGTGTCAGTAAGAATTGTTTCACCCCAACCAGGAAACTGGAAGGTGTCAGGGCAAGTCAGCGTGCGGGACTTCTCTAGCCAGGCCTTGGTAGCTACTGAAGAGTAGACTTGGACTCCAGTCCCAGTAGTGATGGGGCACTGGGACATCTTCCCAGACCCTATTACCTATAGGTATTCCCCTGGCTGCTGGGGGTTGTATGTCCCAGCCCCTACCATAAACCTTGCCTCCAGCTGCCATCTACCAGAAACTCCCCAGACTGTAGTCTGCTGTGGTGAGGATGACACTAACAGACAGAATGGGTACTTTTCTTCCCCTCATAGGACAAGGGAAGCTCAGGAGCTAGGAGTGCCAAGTCAAGGTGCTGGGCCACAGCTGAGGTCATACATTACTTGACTCTCCTGTCAGTGTCCTGAGGTACCATGTAGCTGGGTGAGCCGAGCCATTTAACAGTTGTCTGGCCTGGATCCACCAGTTTTCCTTATGGACTGGGTCCACACTCCATGAGAGTCATTGAGACCATGTATTCCCATGTGACCAAGGGAATATCCCAGGTACCTTTTGTCTACTATGATTTCCTAAATGGCTGGGAGCCCCTTATTCTCCCAAATGCCACTTGACAGTCCAGTACAGTAGGCTCAAGGCTTTCCTCTAGCCGAGATGGTGCTACCCTCGATTATACCCTGACATTTTATGGTTCATTCTAGTAATTTCTTGGGCCCCTGGACCATAGCCAACTTGGTTAAGCCCTTTTGTTTCTGTGCCAGGAAACATACCCTATGGAATGCCGTGTCCTCCACAGCCAGTCCTCTGCTTTCTGTTCCACACCCATCAATGTCTGGTCTCCCAGATAGAAGGCAGGGCTGGCCACGCTGCCTGAGGCTTCCTTGAGGGTGTGGGCTTTAATACCAGAATCTCCTGCAGGCCTATCACATAGTAGCTCAAGTGTATATGTTGAACAATTTAATTTATTCCCAAGATGAGGGTTGAAAGATGGTCTGGAACAAAAGCCAGGTCTCCTGCCCTCTCCCCTGAACCCACATAAAGTAAGGTTGGACAGAGTGGGCCACATGAGACCTGGGATGGCTCCTAGGCTTGAGGACCTGTTCAGGCAAGATGGCAAGCAGATGTTGGACAGGGTCATTTAGGAGGCCGATATGCCAGCTTTCGACTCTTCAGGACTGACCACTTATGTCGTTTCATCGCGTAGATTAGAGGCAGCAGCAAGCCCATCATCATCAACATCTAGGGACAAAGCAAGCTCAAGAGAAGGGTCACAAGAAAGCCTCTCCCAGCTCCTCTTTGACTCCCACAGTAACCCGTGCCCAACCAATCACCTTAAGCCCCATCCGTTTGCGATGGTCATGCTCTGGCTCAGATGCCCAGCGCAGGAAGGTAGACACATCCTTAGCTACCTGGGACATGGTAGCTGGGGTACCTAGCACAAAGACAGGTGATGAGCACTGCCCTCTGAGACTAGAGCCCAACCTGGTACAACCTACTCCATGGAGCCAGACTAGCTCCTACCCAAGTTAAAAGGAACAGCATCCCACAGGACTGTGAAAGCTACTCCAAACCCTACTCAGATAACCCTCCAGCCAAGAAAAGGCCCTTCCAGGCCAAGAGACATGCAAAGCATCTGGGGGTGGAAAAGAACTAAATGCAGGACTTACCATCATCATACTCCAAGACCTCATTGTAAATGGGAGGGGCCATAGCAATGGCCTGGCCAGGGAAGTAGGGGTTGAAGTAAAGGCCTTCTCGCAGTGACACCCCAGTGGGTGGCTCGCAGTAGCCCGTGAGCAAGGAGAAGACATAATCTTCACCACCATGCCTGGAATCAGACCCATGGCTTCTCAGCCCTTGGCAAGAATCAGACCCTCCTCTCCTCACCCTCTCTAGTCCATGTACCTAGCTCGCACGATATAGCTGAGATCAGGAGGCAAGGCTCCATTGTTGGCGGCTCTGGCGGCCTCAGGATTTGGGTATGGTTTAGGGAAGTAATCAGACAGCTTTCCTGGTCGCATGAACATCTCCCCATCTTCATTGGGGCCATCCTGGACCTCCACCTGCCACCAAGAAGCCCATTACAACCCTGCCATGCCACCATAAGTGGGAACCCCAAGCCTTTGGGTCCCAATCTCCCAGCCTCACACACCTCCTCAGCTAAGGCCTTAGCTTCTTCCTCGGTGTAGCAGACGCCCACGAGGTGGCGGTAAGCCACATAGTCCATGCTGTGGCAGGAAGAGCACACTTGCTTATATACTTGGAAGCCCCTCCGGATGCTAAGGAAAGAGAGAAAGGTTAGGGGCTTTCTACACTATTCAGTCCATCGAGACACTCCCCCAGCCAGCCAGTTAGCTGCACACCTGGTGTGGTCCAAGGAGGAGAGGAGGCCACGATGAGACCACGGATAGTTGGGTGGGTGCAGCTCCAGATCACTGGCACTCACAGCAGAATGTAGAGCCACAGCCAGCCCTGCACCCCCTGCTGCTAGCATGCCCAGCGCTGACAGCATCACCTTCCGGCCGCGGGAAAGACCAGACTTCGAAGACAAGGACACTGCCTGCAAGAGCCCCACTCAGCGCCAGCTAGGATACCACCTACCGGCCTGGGGATCCGACTCGGTGCCTGCTCCCTACCACGCACCGGCCGGATCACCGCCACAGGACGCGGGGTGGGGTGGGGATGTGGGCCCAACAGGTCCGCTGGTCCCAAGGCTGCAATTTAGCTCCGATTCTGAGCCAGTGTCAAGCCGAAAGATATAGCGTGCTTGCGGCCAACCAAGGTCACCGTTGGCTGGCCGAGTTTAGGCTGAGGTCACCTCAGGACGCGAATCCGGCGTGGACCCGGGTCTCGGCACCGTCCCCGGGGGGCTCTCGGGGAGCTTCTACCCACAGTCCACCCCCGATCCCCCACCCGGGCCCAGTGCCCGGCGATGAAGATGCAGCGGAGCCCCTACTTAGGGGCGGGGGTGCTGCAAAGGGACCGCCCTCCCGCAACCCGCGAGTGCCCGGAGCCTCGCTGCCGTGACCTTCACGAGCCGCGGGGTGCACGGCGGCCAGGTCAGCAAGCGCTCACCTGAGGGGTCAGCAGCGGGAGCCGCCCGGGCCGCGCGACGCCCAGCAGCCCCCGGGCGCGCGCACCGGGGAGCCCCGAGCCCCGCGGGCCCAGCACCACCCCGCGAAGAGTAGTAGCCGCCGCCGCCGCCGCCATATCGGCCTCCTCAGAGCGGCGGCTCCCGTCGGCCTCTGCGCAGTACAAGAGCTCAGACCGCGCGAGAGTCAGACTAAGGGTTGGAAGCGGGGCGGGGCCTGGGCGCTAGGCGCCGCGGCACTGTCTGTAAGGAGTCAGCCGCCCTTTTGCCGCGCTTCCACGGTTGCCGTGGAAACTGACTCTTGGGCGGGGCCCCGCACGTCTGCTTGCTAGCTGGACAGCGAGCAGATTTCGACCCTGGTCCTCAGCTTTGGCCACTGAGCCCCTGACTCACTGGCGCCCGCAGTCTGAGTGCTTCTCTTAGACTCAGTCCTTGCACAAGGGCCCGTGAACCCTGATCTAGCTCCAGAGAGAGCAAGTCAGGCAGCAAAGCTCAGGTACCGGTTCTGGGAAAACGACAGTATGGGAAGGCTGTTTTGTCTTGTTTTGTTGGACAAGGGATTTTAAAGTACATACTATACAACGAATAAATGTAGCAGCCACAAGCAGGGCAACCAACCGTCCCTCAAGAAAATATAGTGAGGGAAAATGGGGACAGAACCTAGAAAAAGTGCCCACCTCTTCATAAAAGCAAAGGGGAAAGCTAGCAAAAGTAGTTAGAATCAACTTTTTCAGAATGGTAAATCTAAAGGCTTTCAGTATCCTGAGAAATGTGTATTCAAACAAAACAATAGGTGTAGCAGGTGTGGTGCCACAGGTGGGGAGAAGGAGACAGATCAATTATTTCTCCTACCTATCTCAGGACCAATAAATCTCCCAATCTTCCTAAGTGGCTCTGTGTTCATATTGGACCATATTTCCAACAGTAAATTATGCAGCTCGCTATTCTGCCTTAGCATTTACTTCCCTCAGCGTGAAGCCTCAAGGTCAGACAAAGGTGAGAGCTTAGGACTTTCTATTATTTATTTATTTATATTTGTCTGTTATGCAGTTTAGGCCCGGTTTGAGCTCAGATTGTAGCCCAGGCTGGTCTTGAACTTGCAAAAATCTTCCTGACTACCTCTCAAGTGCTGGAATTACTGGAGTGCACCACCACACCCTGTGAATTTAGTACTTTTTTTTTTTTAAGAGCAGAAATATTTATTGAGAAAGCTTGTCTGAGAGAGACAGAAGAGGTCCCAAGTGGGTTGCCCTAGAACTTTTAAAGTATATCTACGGCCCTATTTGTGTGTCTAACCTATATTCCCAGGAATATGTAGGGTTTTCAAAGCCCTGTGGACATTTCCATTCCCTTAATCTCTCTTTTAAGCTTTTTGTTTAGTTGTTTGCCCCAACTTTTCATCCCATAAAACAGCTTGTAAATTAATTTGCCTATAATTGCCTTCTACAGACAGCCTCAGGGAAAAGCTGTGGTACTGGACAAGCTCTGAGGGGCCTTGTAAGTGGGGCTTTCTAGGGAGCCATTAGATAAGATAAATGACAGTTTTCTGTGAACATGGACATTCTGCTCCTTTAATACCAGGAATGGAGTATGATTTTCAATGCTGCCACTGAGTCTGTGAGCAGAATTGGACCAGGAAAAATAGCATAATGAAAACTTTGTGTGTTTGTGTCTGTGTTACGGAGGACTGAACCGGAGCCATGGCATTGTGCTAAATCCCAGGGCCTTTTAAAATTAATTAATTATTTTTGAGACTGGGTCTTGCTATATCAGGCTAAACTTGAACTCACTATGGAGCCCAGAGCTGTGAACTTCTGGCAGTCCTCTTGCCTCATCCTCCTAAATGCTGGGGTTATCAGCATGTACCATGCTTAGCACCCATTTAATTTT